TGCGAGCGTGCGTGGTAACTAGAAGCAGGCTACCCGAAGGGAGCTTGGGCTGGTCAGGGTGACCTAGCTTGCCAGAAGAGTTAATGAGGGTGAGAGAGGGATGAACAATGACTCAGGTTGTCCCATGTTAAGAGCTGTGGGATGCCTTTCCCAAGACTGTGGAAAGCGGAATGAAGCCAGCAGCCAGCCTCAGACTACCTGAGTCTGGACTGCTCTGTTCTGCCTGAGGGTCTTGTTGAGTGGGCAGTTAACAACTGTGGCCACTGCATTATTTATGCCTCCCCTGGTTGCTGTGGACCTTCCCCCACTACACTGAGGTGCTGGAGGCCAGGCACCCAGCCTCACTTGGCCCCGGCTCTGTTCTCAGTGTGAATGCTCAGTGCCGAGTCTACTGGGTCTGCTGGAAGGACTTGGAAGTATTTAGGAACAAACAATATGCTCAGAAGCCAGAACCAGAGTGATGTCCACAGCTAGCCCCAGGGCCTGCTCGCTGCCCCTGGGAGACTCCGCCCTGGGACTGCACTTTCCTCTCCTCTGCTCTGCCTTCCTAGCTTCCTGCCAGGAAGCGCGGCCCCCAGGCGTAAATCATTAACTGGAACCACTTCTCACAGCCAGCTCCTGTTTGCAACAAAACTTTGCCTCCATTATCTTGAAGGATGCTCCAGTTCGCCCTGGGTGGCAGACAGACAGAGGCAGAAGGGCGTCGGAGAGGTGCTGGTACAGCAGGAGGGAGCACAGGCCTCCTGTCACCTGCTCCACAAGGACACACAAGGGTCTGTCTAATCACCACCTGCTCCCCAAGGACACTGCATTTCAAAGAATCCACAGGAAAGCATCTAAGAAGAAATCTGCCTTCATCCATCCAGGCTGCTGAACAAAACACTGTGGGCTAGTGCTGTAAACAACAGTGAGCTATTCCTCACAGGCCCCAAGGCTCCAAGCCTAAGAACCCAGCGGCGGCAGAGGCTGTCTGGCTAGGCCTGCTTTCTGGCATGCATAGATGGGGGGGTCTTCTTAGGAGACCTCAGACTATGGAAGGAGGGATTCAGGTCTCTTGAGCATCCTGTAAAGACACGGATCCACGCACACGCTCCACCCCTAACCTAACCAGGTCTCGAAAGGCCCTACCTCTTATTCCCACAACCTTAGGGTTAAGGTCCTGATGGATGAATTGGGAAGAGGACAAGGGACCGGCCTGGAGCTGAGAGTCAATGACGACTTGCAGATATTGCAACCTTTGGCCTGAGAAGAGTGCAGGGCTAGGCTGGGAAGGCCAGAGCACCCAGGCCAGGTAAGGAGTGAACTTGAATACACAACCTTCCTCAACCTTTGAATGGGCAAGGGCGTCAGTTTCCCCATTTGACAAATGGGGAGTTGGATGCCACGTGGCCAGTCCCTTGAAGCTGTACAAGACTGAGTCTCTCTCATCTCTGAAGTCCAGCTCTGAACTCTCCCTAAGAGGATCCGAAGACACGGACATAAAGGGGCTGCAGAGATGGTGCTTGCTATGCCTGAGTAAGGAGCTGAGTTTGGATCCAAGCACCCCACATAAAAGCCTGGCATGGTGGTGTTTGCCTATAATTCTAGCACTGGGAAGGCAGAGATGGGTGGACCCCTGGAGGTCCATAGCCAGTCAGTCTAGATACATGGATGAACACCAGGCTCAGTGAGAGACCCCGCCTCAAAACCAAGGTGGAAAGTAGTTGAGGAAGACACTCAGTATTGGCCTCTGACCTCCACACACATGCATGCACATACACACATACAGACAGACACGAAGGTCTCCCCTGTTCCTGTCACACCACAGCCATCCAGGGTCTCCAAAGTTGTGGCCTTGAGCCAGGAGACCACTCCAGAGCGCCCAGTCATTTCCCAGCAAAAGCATGCCATCTTCGCTCTCCACACAGACCCACAGCCTCATGCCTAGAAGAGTTCCCCTCAGCTGGGCAAGGTTGTTACAGGATCTACATTTGCTTGGGAAACCCATTGTGTAACTCGGCCCTTCTGTGGAAGGCACGTGGCCACCGGGAAAGGCAGTGTGAAGGAGCCAGGACTTTCTTTGAAATGAATATCTTGGCAAGACCCACCACGAAATGTCCTTTTGAACGTCACTAACTCTAGGTCACCACTAATTCACTCAAAGCTGACAACAGCGTCCTGGTCTAGTATCCCAGGAGACCAAGCCTCACGGGGTCGTTATCAAGTGGACACAGAACTCTGGGACATGACTGTCTGCCCATAAACCTTCTGTTTGGACCTAGAGGGTCGTCTGAGTCTGTGGCCCACCACTGGGTTTCCTCCTAAGACCAGCAAGCCGTGTGCTTTCAGGAACTACTGAAAGATATTTTGAACCAAGTCTAAATAAAGCAGACAGCGAGCGTGACGGGGAGGTGGAGGGGAGGCTTCAATAGCAGAGCCACACACAGCCATGCTTCCTTAGGACCCAAGGTGCCCCGAGGACAATGCCATAATCGCATCCTGTCTGGAATGAGTGCTCAGTACGGCCATAGGTGACCTACACCTACTGAGCGCCAGCCAGGATCAGGGGCTGGGAATTCCATGTTTTTTAAGACTTTCATAAACAAGAACGTGAAGGTTCTGAGAGGGGCTGGGAGCAGGGATCCCGTCCAGGACCTGGTGACTCCTTTCCTGCCCCACACCCCATGATATGCTGAGTGAGGACAGTTACAGAACTGACCCAGGCATGACACCTCCATCTGCTCAGCATTCCTTAAAGAGTAACATGTCCTTGTGATCTCAGTCCAAGAGCACGCTGTGATTCCCTTCCCACTGTCGGAGTGGCCATCCTGCCCCTGCCCAGGCCAGCTCCCTCCATCCCTCAGGCTCCCAGAGAGCTGCTCCTGCCCCTCTCCACCCGATACAGCCCCCCAGTGCCCACCACCCTTCGCTATACCATCCTTCTCTTTCTCCCCGCAGCACTGGCCACCACCCAAGCGCATCTTGTGTCTCTACTCTTCAGGGCTGCCTGTCTCGCAGACCACACTGGACCTCCATGAAGGTCAAAATCACGTCTCAGTGCCAAGCAATCTAAGCAAGTATTCCAAATAGATGCAGTGAAATCCTCCCCGCCCCCAGGCTGATCTTGAACTCTCTATGTAGCCAAGGATGACTCCTGCACCCCCTCTCCCCCTCCCAAGTGCTGGGAGCACAGGTGTGTGCCACCAAGCTATGTCAGGGATCAAATCTAGAGCTTCGTGCACAATAAGCAATTATTCTACTAACTGATTACATGCCCAGCCCCTCCCCTGTGAATATATTTTCTGCATCCCCCACTCACCCTATAGCCCGAATAAAGCCAGAGCCCTAAACCCTTGATTCTCAGGCTCAGATTAGAGGGTGGGAGTCTGTATGCCAGGCACAGGTCTGTGATAGGACCCCGCAAAGTGCTCAGCAGATGGTCAGAGTCACACAAACACCATCGAAGAAAGCAAAATGGCCATCCATTATATTTATAAAGGTGCTAAAACCAGAGAAGCTGTCCAGAGGGCCAGGGTCAAAGGATTGGGGGTTACTCTGACAAGTCCTCCATGAAAAGTGAGGAGGAAGGGAACAGGCCAGCTGGGGTCCTGCCAGACTGCAGCTCCCAGGCTTCAGTTAGGCAAGGTGTGAATTAGTAAATTAGGAAGAGGGTTTCTGGGGCCCACACAAGGAGGCAGAACATGTCACTCACATGACGCTCTATCTGTGCTACCTCAGCAGATGGATTTTAGCCACTGAACACTTTCCAAGTCACAAATCATCAAACCCATCCGTGGAGATCCTGTCCATGCTCAGCTACTTGGCAGAGGGAATGTTCTAGATGGAGGTGGAAATTAAAAAGATGAGGGTGTTCAGGACAGGGTAAGGGGGGAGAGGGAGAGGCTGGGCATGGGAATGTCCGTCAGCCTCCCTCACAACCTTGTCCAAAACCTGCCATAGGACAGGCACTGTGGCCACATCCTTTCCAGTCTGGGCAGCCTGCCAAGAAACAATGCTAAGGAGGCTGTGAGCAAAGAGCCCCAGAGCTTAGCTCAGGCCAGCCTCCTGGACCTTCCCAGGTACACTTCCGGAAAGCAAAGAGCCAGCTTCCTCCCCCCATTAAACCCACTGTGGGGGAGGAGCTGGAGAAAGTTTTCCTTCTAAGTAAGCACTGCCCACAGGTGCCCACAGCTGGGGTTTCATGGCTCATTTTTCAGGAAGAACTTGGCTATGGTAGCAGGTCCCACCTATTTGCATTTTCTGCCCTGGGTCTGAGGGTCTCGGCCCTGGGCTTTCCTCGAGCCATCGAGAGGGCACCTGCCAGTAGATATATCGTATCCGAAGCCCTTTGAGTTCACGTGTCCTCAGACCAGTTCCAGGCACCCATTGGCCAAATGTCCCCACTTCTTGCATTCAGGTAGGACTCCAGAGAGGCATTTACTATCTTGTGTTCCAGAGCTACGACCCCTGCCCCCAGGCAGACCACATGGGTGACTTGCTCATCAGTGCAAACCTGGTTTCTTTCCTGTGTCCATTCTCCACCCATTCACTGCCCTCTGACAGCACATCCAAAAAAAGGTCACCCTCAGATTCCATCTTGGATTGCTGTTGGCACATCTAAAGCATCTGAGGTGTTCAGTGGTGGAGACAGGGAGACCTGGTCTCATGGAATCCTGGTGCCACCCTCTACAAGTCAGGTGACATAAACATCTGAGCCTCAATGTCCCCATGTGTTAAATAGGAGCCAAAATCATAGCACCTCCCTCAAAGTCGTTGCAAGGATGAATGAGATGATTCCAATCAAATTTTTACAGGACCTGATACTTGGCATGCACTCAAAACTGACTAGCTACAATTAATAGCTAGACAGAAAACAGAGCCAAGTGACAAATATCTTAGAGATAATTTAGGAAGGAAATGACAAGCAAAGAGTAATTATCCCCAATAAACAGTGAACTCATAAATTATCAAAAACAAGACAAAACTACCTTAAGGAAGTTTCCAAAAAGGATGCAAATAGGTGATTCTCAAAGAATACAATGTCCAAATTTTATTAGACACTCAAAAATGTTTATCTGGACAGCAGTCATCACAAGTGAAATGCTAAGAAAGCCATACTTCAAACAAAGGGGAAAAAAGCAGTCATAAAAAATGCAACACACTTTAAAATAATATTCTACAACACCCCTGGCCCAGGAGAGAACAATATCAGGGTCCCACAAGAGCTACCTTATGTCTTAGCACTTTCCTACTAGATTTCACCTCTTAAAGGTTCTGTCACTTCTTAACACCATCACACTAACAACCAAGATCTGCACTCACACACAGACACACACGCAGAAACATGCATAGACACACACACAGACACAGATACACACAGACACACAGACACACACACACACACACACACACACACACACACACACAGAGGAGGGGGGTAGAGACTCTAGACTCTGATGACTCTCCCAAACCATAACACCATATGATGTCTGCCAACCAATGAAGATAGGCATAAGTGAAGGGCACCATTCCAGGCCTGGCTGCCGGAAGCCACCTACAGATGACATGCCTGCCCTTTGCCTGGAAGAACCAAGGGCCCCCCGCTGGAAAGTGGCAGCACTTCAGGATGGAACTGGAACTCCGGTCACTCCCGGAGGGGAGAGTCATACTGGATGTGGTTTTGACTTAATGTGCCAGGGAGAGAGTTCCATTGTGTCTGCCAAGGAGCTGTGGCTGACTGTTAGCCCAGTTCTCATGACCATAACAGACCCTTAGTCTGCTAGAGCTGGCTAAACTTTCCAAGGTGACTGCTCTTGTGGAGCCAAAGTATGAGCATGCAATGCAAATAGAGAAATGGTACCATGTTGGTCCAAAGGTACAAACTTCAGTTGTAACACAAAAGGCTTCTAATGCACATCGTGATGACCATAGATAATGCCATACTGTATTTATAAATCTCTCACATAGTGGATCCACCTCATGTGTTCTTATACATACACACATGGTATCATGTGTGGTGACAGATGGTTAATAAGCTTGGGCATATAATAATTGTTTCATCATCTATACATATATCTACTCATTCTGTTGTCAACCCTTAATGTATTTACTATCTAATTGTAATAAATCAAAGAGCTCAGTGTCTTGCATGAGCACTTATCACTTGCATAAGTACTCATGAGGGAATCATCCTCATGCTGGGTCCTTCTGACCCCAGGAAGGACAGGACATGGGTGTTTTGAGTGGAAATGTCTCTGAAAAAAAAAAAAAAAACTGTCCTCACACTATGACCACGCCTCTCCTGTGATTCAGTCTTTTGGACATTTTGGTTAGGATCCCGGTTTCTTTATCCCGACTCAAACACGAAAGTCAGACTCTGGGTCTGGACCTCATAAACATGTTACCTCTCCTAATATGGTGGGCACAAAACTGGTCACAGACACTCTGGGTCATCCAGGTAGACAGAATTGCACAAATGGGCACACACTGTGAGTCTTCTGACCTAAAAGAAGTGGAACTCGTTGGCCTTGGGGAGAACTAAGAGGTGGGGGTGGGGACTAAGAAGTGAGGAGTGGGGCGTGATGGAGAAGACTTGGTCCATGGAGCATGGGTCCATGGAGGGCTTCGCAGTCTCCCATAGACATTTGAACTTTATCCTAAGGGATTGGGGCATCACTGGGGATCTGAAAATGGACCAACACACTATCTTTGCATTGGTGGAATCGGGATGGATTATAGGGTTATTGGCAAAAGCTGGGGCACCAGTTGGAAACCTTGGATTTCTCTAATTTCCTTTGAGGAGGTGCCTCTTTCACCTCTGTCCTGGAGATCTGGGGGGTAGGGGGTGGGGAGGCTTCTTGGAACCACATGAGATGATGTGACCTGAAATGCCACAGGCTTTGTCAGGGGACCCTCCTTGATCTAACACACTCAAGGAAATGCTAATAAAAGCAATACCTGCAAATGATGACTGCATTGACATAATGTGGTATGTCCATTCAGTGAGACAGTACGCAGCCATAAACAGAAATTCTGAGATGCACTACAAGGCAGATAAATGACCCTGGGCTAGGTAAAAGGCATCAATCACACAAGGAATGGGTCCTTTCCTGTGAGGTTCCTAGCATAGCCAAACTCAGGGAGACAGAGAGCAGAATGACAGTTATGGTCCCAGGGGGCTGGGGGGTGGGGCACGGCAAATGGGGAGTCAGTGCTTCATGGCAGAGTTTCAGCTTTGCAGGATGAAAACTGTCTGTGATGGATGGTGAAGATGGCTGCCCAGCGATGGGGATGGGCTTGATGTGCTGAGTGATGATCAATCATGTCTTCAGTGTGCAGACGTCCGTCCAACGTGGGATCATCTCTGGCACAGGCACTCTACCTGTGGCTGTGCCCCAGCCACCTCCACAGTGCCTCAGCCTCTCGTGGGAACACAGATCTGCTCTTCATTCCTGGTTGAGGTTGGGGTGGGTCATAGCGGCCTCCAGGTTGGCAGCCTCTGTTCTCTGTAAAACATGCTGAGACAGGTTAGGCACAGACCAGGGCCTTCCAAACACCACCCATCATCTTCTGCTCAGGCAGTTGACAGCAAGGCCTCTTCACACACACCCCTGCCGTCTTCCCGCCCACACTCACACCTGCTTCCCTGGCAGCTGCCACTGGCTGGGGGTGGCTCACTGTGGGGAGAACCCTTCTTTCCTTGAAAGGGATCTAAGAGGCCCAGGAGAGGCCATGTTATTCAGAGGTATTAATATTGATGGCCTGGGTCAGATATAATACCACCCTGTACCTCCAAGCTAGAAGAGCATGAGACATTGGATACTTCTACCACCTTAAACGGTTGCTTCTTACTCTTAATTCTGATTCATTTCAAACTCAGAAAAATCAGAAAACAGTCACCTCTGTCTGTATCCACCACCTGGATTACATGGATTTAATGCTTCATTGTATTTGTTCCAGTTTCTCATATTTCTTTGTGTGTGTGTGTGTGTGTGTGTGTGTGTGTGTGTGTGTGTGTGTGTGTGTGTGTGTGTGTAGGCCAGAGGTCAACTTTGGGTATGGTTCCTCAGATACCAACTGGATATTTTGAGCCAGGGTCTCTCACCTGGCTGGAGCTATTCAAGCAGGCTAGGCTGACTGGTCACTGAGCTCCAGGGACCTCCCTGTCTCTGCCTCCTTGGTGCAGGAGTTACAAGAGCATGTTGCTGCCATGTCTGGTTTGTTCACATGGGTGCTGGGGGTGGCACTCAGCTCCTCCTGCTTGCAAGGCAAGCGCTTCACGAGCTGACATTCCTCCATGTTACAGAAACACAGTTGAAAGTGATTTTTTAACCTCATGCACCTTCTTCCCAGGCGACTCCCCAGACCCAGTCTCACATGCAACCAGTCCCAGCCTGCGAAATCATGAGCAGCTTGTTCTGTGGCCCTGAGCACCTAGACTTTACTCTAAGCCTCTGGTCGATGTCCGTCTTTTCATCCGATGATATGCCACACCTGCCTCGACCATGTTGATCTGAACAGCAGCTTTACTCATTTTCAGGACTGTTTGTCACACAATTATCACAACTTGCTGTTATCTGAGGATACCAAAGAGGAGGATCCGCTGAGGGCAGGAGGCTGCCTGGCTCCACCTTTTTACTTTGTTTTGTTTTCTTTGTTACTTCTACCGTGTGCAATGAACCTCCCCTTTCACATGTTTTATACACACACACACACACACACACACACACACACACACACACACACGTAAATTTTTCCCCATGGATCCCAGAGGTAGAAACCCTGGATCATACTATGTGACCATTTCTACATTGTGTGACTATTTCCACATTGACTAGCAAGTGTGATTTAGACTTGGTCAGTTTTGCCAGATGGAAGGATATGAAGTATTGTTGTTGTAGATATATTGCAGTACTCATGAGGCTCAGCATCTTACCAGCAAGGCAGACCAATAAAATGCAGAGAGTCTGGGGTCTATGTCAGGGAAGGCTGGATTGCCAGGGCCTCCATAAGCTACAAATGTTTGCTCGCCCCCACCCCCACTGCCATCCCTCCCCCACACCCCTGGCCCTGCACTGGGACCTTCTTTAAACTGTTCAAATCCATTATCCATGTTTCTTGCTGGTTGAGAGATAGCCTTAGTCATTCTGGACATGATTTGCAAGTTCCCAATATTTCTTTGCATATGCCGTGCATCTTGTTATCTGGTATTTGATGTCTCTGTCAAATAGAGAGGCCTTTTGATTGATTGTATTGCAGTGTAATGCAAGAGTCAAGATATAAAGATATCCTGTGTTACCTCCTGCAAAGTTTGTTTTTCCTTTTTCCATTTTCATGTGTATGGAGTTCACATGCTTGTGTGTGTGTGTGTATGTGCGTGCGCGTGCGCACGTGCACACATGTTTGTAGTTTCTTTGTGTGTGTGTGTGAGCATGTTTGTGGTTTCTTTTTGTGTGTGTGTGTGTGTGAGAGCATGTTTGTGGTTTCTTTGTGTGTGTGTGTGTGAGCATGTTTGTGGTTTCTTTGTGTGTGTGTGTGTGTGTGTGTGCACATTTTACATGTGTGGGGGTGCAAATGTGTGAATGTGGAGGCCCAAGGTGGATGTCAGGAATTATCTCCCATTGCTCTTCCAACTTACTTATTGAGACAGGGTCTCCCAGTCAAACCCAGAGCTCATCCATGTGACTAGTCTTGCTAGCCAACCTTCTCTGAAGATCCCTGTCCCTGTTTCCACCTTCTGTGGCTGGAATTACAGACAGATCATCATATCATCCAACAGTAACACAGGTTTCTGTGGATGTGCCCAGTCTCACACTTGTGTGGTGAGTGTTTTAAATATCAAGCCAGGTCCCAAGCCCCTCAAAGGTTTTAAATCTGCCTGGAGTATATAACCAAATGTGATAGATAGTAGGTAGCAACTTGTATTTGTGATTTCCCATCTGGATAGACACTTCTTCCCAACAGGACACAGTATACTTGCTGTCCATCCCCATCCCCCACCTACAATATCTGTCTATCCATCCAGTCCTCCCACACTTGTGTATATGTTTCTAGGGTCTCAACTTGGTCCCCATCTGCTTCCCCCTACTCTGCAATGCTTAAATATTGTTGCAAGTTTAGTAAATACTCGTATCTTGTATGAAGATGTCTCCATTTTCTCCCCATATCACTTCTGCCTTTCCAGGCTGACTGCTCTTCAGTATGATTTTTTTTCCATATGCTGATACTAGAGATTTATTCAGAGATATAAATTGTCGGCACAGCAGCAAGGCTGGGGCTCCAATCTTGCCTATCCCCTCTCTGGTTCTCTGACGTTGAACTAGTTCCTCCACTTGCTTTTGCCCTGATTTTCAGTTCTTAAAATGGGGACAAAAAATAAAATCTACCTCACAGGGTCACTAGGAGGACTGAGGGGGTTAAGACATGGTAATTTGTCAACACAGAGCTAACGTGACTAAGGGCTTATGCTCTGATGTCAGCTGTCCAGATAACAACACTCTTACCATTCACTCATTGAGACAACAAACCTCCTCGTGATGAAATGTGGCATGGGAGAGGCCAGAAAGCAAAGGCATAGCTTATCCTGCATCCGGCAGCTTGGAAAGCAAAACCGAGACCAACCAGGCTGGCAGCCATCAGGCCACCTGGCTCTCCCGGGCACAGCCTCTGTCTCCCCAGCCTCAGCCAGGGAGAAGCAGCACACAGACTCTCAGAGCAGTCAACATGGTGAGTAAGCTTTGGGAGCTGGTGAGATGGTTCAGCAGGTTAGGAGTACCTCCTGTCAGGTCTGCCATGGTGACCTGAGCTCAATTCCTGGGACCCACATGGTAGAAGAAGAGGACCACCTCCCTCAAGCTGTCCCACACAGGTTCTCTGGTACACCCTCATCCACAACATCCCCCCACATACATAAATGCAATTTAAAATTTTTAATGTTTAGTATTTTTCCATAACCCTCTTATTTCTATCCATAGTTCTGTCTTGAATCTGCTTTGTTTAATATTAATATCACTGCCCTATTATTTTATTGTTTAGTATTTGCATGCACTAAGCTTTTCATTCTTTCAAAGTGACTTTACGTTTTAAATTCCTCTCGTGTAAATGGCACACAGTTTGATATTTGAAATCTAGTTTGACCATATTCACTTTTTAATTAGTCTATTGGTTTTGATTGAACTTACCCACATAGTCGGGTTCAAATCTGCCACCTTATGCTGTGTTTTCTGCTTAGTCTATCCATTATATGTTTTGCTTTATTTTATTATTTTTATTTTTATTTTTTGCTGTTGGTGGCAGGGAAAGGTGTATCTTTCCATTCTTCCCACTTTCTTTCTAGTTTATGTGTATGTGTGTGGGCCTGCATGTATGTATGCCATATGTGTGTCTGGTGCCACAGAGACCAGAAAGGGGCGTCAGATTCCTGGGAGCTGGAGTAATGGAGCATTGTGAGCTGCCATGTGGGTGCTGGGAACTGAACCCGGTCCTCTGAAAGAGCTGCAGGTGCTCTTCACTGTGACTCATCTCTAGTCATACCTCCCTTTTTTCTTCCCCATAGTTAGCATTGGACTCATATGTACTTAGTGCATTCTTAAAATTGTTACCCTGGAAGCTGTGTTATGAACCCGAAACTTGCCAGAGCCTCGTGCAACTCAATACCTAATTCTACGCTAGGCCACACAAGGACCCAAGCCATTTACACTCCCTTTTGTCAGTTCCCCAGTCACAGGGCCTTTGCTTGCTCCTGCTACAATTCTAAGAGTTCAGAGGTGGTTTACGATGATTTTGCATAACCAGGGTTCAGTCGGATTTACATTTTCTTCATCTCCTTTTCTTTGATTGTTTTTAGTTTTTCAAGACAAGGGTCTCCTGTAGCTCAAGCTGACCTCAAACTTACTAGGTAGCTGAGGATGACCTTGAACTCCTGACCTTTCTGCCTCCTCCTCTAGGGTGCCACCATGCCCTGCCCACCATTCCTTTTGCATTTTCTGATCTTCCACCCAGGATAATGTCCCTTCAGACTAAGGCTCCCTTAGAATATCCTTGAGTAAAAAGAGATTGTCCGAAAACCTCTGTTTGATTCTTTCTATTCGGGCTTTTTATTATGACAAATGTCCGCATGACCAGAAGAAAATAAACTAAAAGAACACCCACCAGTTCCAGCAATTACCTGAGTCCTGGCCAGTGCTGTTCTCTGCATCCGGTGTCCCGGGCCCCTCACGACGAACTGCTCAGCAAATGCCAAGCTGTTGTTCCGTTTCCCCTGCCAATGTATTAGGATTACCTCTTTGAAGCCGAGGACTCTGTCTCTAAACAAGACTGCAGCGTCTACCAGGAAAAAGAAAAACAGCAGTGACTCAGTGTATCGTCATGAGTCTCACCAGCGTCCACATTTCGCCAGCTGCCATCGCTTTTCCTAGGCCTCCCTTGATTGAACTGGAATGCAAACACGTTCTCTGTGTTGTTGCTGCCTCATCTATTGGTTAAGTTTCTATAGAGTTTCTTTTTCATTTCCCCCTTTGCATTTGTTGCTGTCATTATTGAACAACAGTCAGGGTTTTGCTGTCTGTATCCCCCCCCCCCCCCCCCCCCTTCCCCCCCCCCCTCCCCCACCATGGTCTCTGTGTTCTCTATAAGCCTGTTGATGGATTCAGAGAACTGATCAAATTCAGGTCGGATTCTTTGGGAACATGATTGGTAAGGTGATGTGTTTCCCACCAGGAAGCACATTCGGTCTGCTTCCTGATCTCTGGGTGATACACACACAGACTGAAGGCCACGGCCAAGACCTATGCGTTCATTAGAGGTTGGGAATGGTCATGTTCTGATTCTGACATAGAACTGGAAAAGTTCTATGAAGAGCTGGGCATTAACAGCACAGTGTTGTGATCCCAACCCTCAAGAGGCTGACACAGGTGGATCACGAGTTCAAGCTCAGCCTGGTCTACACAGCGAGACTCTGTCTCAATAAAAACAAAGACAAAAAAAAAAATTCTATCAAGGGAAACTTTTCCTCACCAGATCGTTTGCTGATGCTGAAGCATGGTTTACATAGAGACAGGAGAATTGATCTTTTCCCTCTATTTTGTATTTTCAAGTGCAGGTTGTTCCTTGTTTCTTGGTGCTTTCCAGAGGTGGCTTCCTAGTGTCTTTATGACTTGTGGAATTGAGCATATCTGGTGTGTTTCAGGCCACTGTGTCCTCCCTGGCGCTCTAACTGCCCCACCAGTGACCAGAGAGGCTTGCGCAAGCTGCCCTTGAGTCCTTCTGACTGACTCTCATAGCTCCTCATAGCTTTCTGGAGAGAGACATCGTCCCAGGCTCACCCACACACTCTACAAATTCCCATGGTAACTGGTAGTGGTAAATAGTATTTGAAGACCACAATCTGGGAACCAGGCTTGTTTCTTATCACTGAGTTAGTTAGTCATTGTCCCCAGACTTTTCAGTGCCCAGAGCTAGGAAATGTATTCTTGTTTCTACAAATATACTCATCACGAGAAGACAAGTGCTACTCTTCCACGCTGTTACTTCAGATTCAAATTTACTCAGTCCTGTCAGTCACTCTCCCACACCAAGGAATATAGTTCTCGATGTTTCTGATGTGTTCATACATGGACTTCATCTTACACAGAGAATGTGAGGTGCACAGGGCACAGGCTGTAATACGGCACCACTTCCCTGAAGAGCAGGTGCCTGAGAACCTCCTTGAGTACCTAGCTCTCCCTGCCTCATCTGAGTTCACACCCTGATTCATGCCTGAACACCCAATGCAGACAGTTCTCTCAGGTTTCAGTACTAACAACATGATTTCTAGAAACAGCTTGGGGTGTGATCCTGTTTTTGATGTTTTGGGTACCCCTTATTCCTCTGCAAGCCTCTTACAGTGTGAAAAAACACTGTGTGGTGTGCATGTGAAATAGTTCCTCACTGTTTGCTATGCAGGTGAAATAATTCCTCACTGTGCTGATATGGCCCCAACTTGCTATATGATTGGATCAATGTATTTCACTTTTAATTCTGAGGATTCAGTCTTAATTTTAATTTGGCTTTGGGGGCCAGAGAGATGCCTCAGCAGTTAAGAGCACGTACTGCTCTTGTAGGGGACCCAGGTTTGGTTCCTACTACCCACAGGGTGGCTCACAACCATCTATAATCCAGTTTCAGGGGCTCCAATGTCCTCTTCAGAATCCAGCCATTGCATGCATGTGGTGCACATACATACATAGATACATACACTTAGGCACACACATATACATTAAATAAAGTAAATGTCTAAATGTGTTTGGTTTTATAATTATATGAGATTACATATTTCCAAAGCCAGATGCACAAAACCAACCTATTCAAATATTCTGACCTCTATACACTACTGTTCCTTCTCGCTATTCTCATATCTAACCTTTTTTTTTTTTTTGCAAAAAAAAATTATGGCTTGTACTTTTTTGTGTTGTAAATAAACATATCACGTTCATGATCTCAGATGAAAGGTAACATACCGTCTGTGCCTTTTAAAGTTACTATACCTCAGAATTCCTTCTAGAGAGCAGTGCAGAGGCATTCCTCAGTCCTTACTGCTTTATAATCCTCCATGATGCAACGTGCTGTGGCCCCTTTCCCTGTTGATGGACTTTGCATTCTTTCCAGCGTTTTCTATTACACATAAGTCCATTTAAAAAAAAAAAAACCTTAGTCTATTTGTCTTCTTTCAAAATTTTGCTTGGAGGATTTTGCCTTGATGATTCCAAATAATCTTTTCACAGGAGAGACAATTCTGGGCTGACATCTGAGTTTCACTGCACATCTTAAAGGAGTAATTCAGAGATTCCCCAGCTCTGGTATTGCTGGGGGTCAACCACAGCCTGTCATGCCTTTGAGGGTCACTTGTCTTTCCTCCTTGCCTAATTCCAATGATTTTTCTCTTTTCCAGTGGTTTTTGTATTATGAAATGCCCAGGGATATATTTGGTTTTTATTTGTTTAGGATTAATTTCAGGCTCTGGAAGTCTGTAGATTGCTATCTTTCCTTGATTGCAGAAACATCTCAGCCACTAACTCTTCAACTATCACCTCTGACTCTCTCTCCCCATCCTTGAAGCGCTCTGCTCCTCGCATAGCTCTTGCCGTTGCTTATACGAGACTTTTCCATAGACCACTGATGAGTTCTAGATGTTTCCTTCTGACATATTCATACACTAACTATACAAAGATGCTAATGTTGGAAGATGAAGATTACACATTAGAGGTTGGCTATTATAATCTGCCCCTTTTCTCATTATCTACATGGCTCCTACATGTATGATGCACTTACTCCATCCTGGTACTCCTAAAGTCTTGTCTTACTACAACACCAGCTTGAAGTCCAGAATCTCATCACCTAAGTCAGAGCCAGTGGCAGACGATGCTGCCCAAGTATGGTACCCAAGTATGGCTGCTTGAATACATTCCTTCTCCATCTTAGACCTAAGAACTGCTGAGACAAGTTCTCCTGTCCCCTACGAATAACAAATAACTGTGAAAAAAATCACTGCAGAAACTACTGTTCAAAAGAGGCAAGTGGGAGACAGAAATCACCAAATGGCGATGATACGGCCTAGACTGCAAAGGCAGGCTCCTTAAGACCTTAAGTCTTACTCCTCTCAAGAAACAATTTCCCACAGCAGGGCTGCACCCTCTAGGCACCCTGAGTCACCATTCCATTTCTGTGACAGGCCACACATGGCTATCAATTGGTAGTTTTCTGAACTAGCTTTCTGTAAACATTTGAGGGCTGGAATCATTCTTTTTCATTTCTACCCTTGTCTGTCCTGCTAAGACTGAGCACTGTTCTTTCAGCTGAAGTCCTTTGAAGTTTCCTGGATGTCTTGTGAGTCTTGGAATTTTCTTCACCACACAGAAGTCTCATTGAGATAAACCTCCATTTTGGGCTTCTGGTGAGAGACACCACGAGCTTCTAAGAAGCTTGGCCATTTATAAAATATCTGTTCATTTAGTTTTTCTAGACAGGTTCTCACGCTGTAGATCAAGCTGGCCTTGAACTCATGACGTCACCTAGGCTGGCCTCTAGTTCACGGTCTTCACACCTCATTTTCTGAAATGCTAGAATTACAAGCAAGTACAGCCACACTTAGCCTTCTAGATGCCCTATCGTTTGATGGAGTAGATTAGTGAATCATACTCTTGAGACTTGAGAGGGTTCTCTGTGGATGAAGACTATTGACAGAACTCCTTTTATATTTGCCTGAAGTCTTAATAAGTTATCGGACCATGGTACCCTAAACTGTTTCCCCCGATGGCGTAAGGCAGGGGTGGGACTCAGCACCCTGGGTCTCATCTTCCTCAGATGCTTGTCTTATTTTAGTGTTGCTTGCATCTGCAGACACCTAGAATTTTCAAATCTATCAAATTCCCACTTCTTCATGTTTAACAGCTAAAAATGCCTGCCAATGCATTACACGGATTCCCAATTCCCATGCAATATCCCTCTTTTCACCCCTCTCTTCCTCCATTCTCCCCTCCCTCTCCCCCTTCCTTCTTCCCTCTCTCCCCATCCTTCCACTTCTTCCCTCCTCTCTCCCTCCCTTCCTGTCCCCCCCACCCACCCTCCGACAGCCTCCACATGGATCCCATTCTTCCTCCAGAAACTTCTCTGGGACAGTCATCTTCCCACAGCTGTCCTCGGAATCTTTGCAGCATCTTCTGACTGTGTAATTCCAAAATCACCCCTACATTTTAGGTGTTTCTACCACTGAGTACAAAAATCTTGGTTTATAACCTATTGCGTCATGATAAATGTGACGGTTTGAAACAATGAACAGTTAGCACCCCCAGTCTCTGGGCGCAGGGGTTGGGAGCTGCGTAGTGGGAGCCCCTGGCTCAGAGCCTCACCTAAGGCTGCAGTCAGGACACTGGCAACAGCCAGCTGGGGCTAGCCTCAGCTGTGGGAGCTGCCTGGGGTGCATCTTTTTAACGGTGGGCCACAAACTTTTGTGTCCACCACATGAGCCTTTCCGCAGAGCTGCTCGGGACACATACAGATGACACAGATCAGGGTTTGAGCCAGAGAGCTGAGGAAGGGATCCTTGGGGGCGTCTTGGATGGTAGCACAGGCATTGACTTGTACCCTCCCCCAAACAGGTGTATGTTCACCTGTAACTGATTATGAATTTTGGGGAAATATAGGTCTTTAAAAATGTGATTAGGGTATAGAGCAAAGATTAGATTGTACTAATTATTTGGGTAGATCCTAAACCAATGACAATGGTCTCTTTTTAATATTGTGTGCGTGGGGGGGTGGGTGTCAGAGGACAATTTGTAAGAATTGGTTCTTTCCTCTTACCATGTGGGCCCAGGAATCAAACTCAGGACTCAGGGTGTGTGTGTG